GCAACCTGGGAGCAGGGCAGCAGCTGCAGAAACCATGGCATCTCTCTGTTTTAGAACATTGTTCGTATTGTTTCCACACACGGCTGCTTGTTGATGTGGTGATAAACAATACGAAAGGTGTACTATTAGATGTGGCAAACCTTAAAACCTTGACAGGACATTAGATCTATTTTCAACAATATTTGGAATTTTTACCAGTTTGTGTTTCCGTGGTCCAGTTTTTAGTGTCCGACGTTTGCCTCACTGTTGAGAAAACATGACTTTACATTTTTGCCATTTTAGAATAATATGCACTGCATGTTTGTCATGTATTTAGAGAGAAGGCATTGGACATCATTACATTTGGACAGAAGTATTTTATTAATTTATTATTTAAAAAAGTTTTACATATGTATTTTTGATCCACACTTATTTGTTTTCCGTTTAAAATCCCCTGAACCTGCAAACACAAACCGCTTTCTGTGCACGGATCGCGGTGCATTCTTGTGTGGTTTTTTTTAGACTCCCCTGACGCTCATCCAATTCGTACTTGTAATTTCTCTCATCTATAGCCAATCAGATGTCTCCTCCAGTCTAAGCCAATCACATGAGCGCGCCCCCACGATGGTATGATTTCTTGCGTTCATGACACTTTATGTACGCATTTTGCGCTGTCCGGTCGGCTCGCTAAACAGAGGGCAGAGCTTCAGGTGATCATGTAGAGCTGCATGTCTCTGTCAGACTCAGCAGCTGATCTGATCTCTCTCTCGCGTCCGGTTACACTTCACTCGCGTTTATGTCCATATCGATCAGATCCAGCTCTCCTGTTAATAATGACCGGCGGGGCTCCCCCCGTTGACANCAGTCTCATAATACACACATGCACACAGAAGGATTCACACTTGTATTTCAAAACACAAGTGTGGATCCGGAAATACAAGTGTGAATCCTTTTGCGGATCATGAAATACAAGTGTGAATCCTTCTGTGTGCATGTGTGTATTATGAGACTGTTATGAGCCCATACCTTTGTTTCTTTAGGTTTTGTTTCTTTTTTTCAACATAAAAAATTCCCAGCTAGCATTGGGTGTTGTTAAATAAGTCATTGTTTCTAAAGACTAATAGACTCTTCTGTGTCATTGAAACAATATCATATCTATTCAGGGTCCAAGAATGCGTACAAGAACATTGTGTCTCCTGCTGTTGCTTGCGTGGGGTAATGTCCATGGCACAAGCCAATAACCAGATTAATTGTACACAAAGGACGGACAGAATGAATTCACGGTTCCCAGCGCAAATCAATGTGGAGATATCGATAATTCAGGGAAATCTATCTCCATAATCTCCTCTGCTCATTTTCCCAGGTTGCATCTCCAGTATGTGTATGTTGCATTTTAGTTCGCTAATTTCAATCCTTTATAAACCCTTTTATTGGGTAGTATATTATTCAGCAATGTCTCATATTCTACAGTATTAGATCATCATATTTTTATAGTCTTGCTCTCTTTTGAGCACCAAGTATATCTTAAAAGTCAAATAAAAAAACGTGGATGTTCCAAGAGTGGTTTATTTATATTAACATAATACATTTTTTAAGATGACATATTATGCAAATGTTCTGGTTCATATCTGTGTCTACTGTGACATGCTTAATGTTCAAAAAGGACTTTATTGTCCTCATACTGCCTGTGCTGCAGCACCTCTTTTCACCCTCTGTCTGAAACCAGAGCCCAGTCTGCTCTGATTGGTTAGCTGTCCGGCTCTGTTGTGATTGGTCAACTGCTTAGAGACGTCCCTCCCCTTACCATTTCATATACAATGCGTTGGAATGCTAGCTAGAAGCGGGATTGTTACATGGTGATGCTACTATATCATGGAAGTAAACAAATGAGTCCAATTGAGGCGTTTCAGGCAAGAGGGGGTGTGGGAGAGAAACTCCCTCGGGAAGGGGAACACTCAAAAGCTAGCACTCAAAAATAGCATTTTTAACAACTCTTGTTAAATATTAGTAGATCAAACTCTACTCAAGTGCTGTACTTGAGCAAAGATATAATGTGTCTTCCTACTTCCTCAAAGTAATATACAAAATAATATTATTTTTTGAAATAATAATGAAACTCATACAATAACCAGTGAAAGACTAAGCTTTTGTGTGTGTTCTTTTGTTTCTGCCTGTGTGTGACATTCAGATTTAATAATGTATTTTTCCCAAGACCCCCCGCTGTTTCCCCCTGACCTCAGAATATTAGCTCAACTATATTTCCCATGCCATCTCCTCCCACTTTCACCTCCCACCCCACACTTGCTTACTTTATTTTGATTGCCCCAACACATGTATGATACGTCCACACCACATGCTCTCCCTTTCCTTAACACCCCAGTCTCTGTGAGAAGATGAGCATCACAGGGCAACAGAGGGAGGAGGGTTGGATTTCGTGTGTGTGTGTGTGTGTGTGTGTGTGTGTGTGTGTGTGTGTGTGTGTGTGTGTGTGTGTGTGTGTGTGTGTGTGTGTGTGTGTGTGTGTGTGTGTGTGTGTGTGTGTGTGTGAGAAGAAAAGCAGTTGGCCTTCAGTGGCTGAGCAGTTGTGTCACACACCCTCATTACGACACGTTGTTTTTTTAATGACACCGTGATGAGCCGATACATCTATCGATTATATATGCTGACGTCACATACAGCGGGAGCACCCTTACTCTGTTCCCACAATGCACTGCTCACGTTTATCATATATTCTTTCTGA